ACACTGTGTGAAAAATGAAATTAAAAAAAAAAAAAAAAAAAAAAAAAAGAAGAAGGAAAGAAAAAAAATTGGAGATCTAAGCAACGATTCATTATTGGACATCCAGTTTTTCGATTTTTATATTTTCTGGGGATCTGGGATTATCTCCCTTTTACTAGCCTCAACTGCTTAGAGCTTTACTAGTAAATTAAGTATTTTGCTCTAATGCCATTCACGATAGCTGTAAAATACGTTGCGCTCGCACCATTCATCGTTAAGTGAAAAAACGTCCAAAAGTGACAATCAAGCATGCAAACTTTAAGAAAAAAAATAATGCTCTAGCAGAAAAGCACGACAACACGCGGTCAAACTCGCAATCTCAGAATCAATTGTATTCTTTGCTAAAATTTTTCTCATTTATTTTAGAGTAAGGGGGGCATTTTCTCTGTCTTAGAGATTATGCATTTTACGACAAGCACATTTTACATTTTCTCTATAAGGACTAGATTTATAGCCTTTTATATATTCAATATATCATTGCATCATCTATGAGTCAATTTTCATAGTTTTATCTTTTTGCTGTAATTTTTTTAATCTATAAAATTTCTATCTTCTTGGTGTAAAATTTAAAACAAAATAAGTTATATGTTTCTTAACTTTTGAAAGACAATAAACAATTAACTTTGCCACCCGATGGAAAAGCATATTTTATCACTCTCTTGCCAATTAACTAACTATATGTTAATTACATGGCATAGTTCAATTTCGCTAAATCCTTAACACTTGTCACCTAGTGCAAAAGCATGTTACACATGCTGTACCATCATTAGAAACAGCTTTGATTGATAGTAAGAAATCTTAGGGTATTGTTCTGCAAAAAAGAATGCATAGTAAAGCCTTTATGTCCATTTCTTATCAAGGCCTAAAACACACCTTATGATAACATGAAAATGGTCAAGCAATTCTGGACAGCTCAAAATAAATAAAAAATTCCATCTCTTCAATTCAAAACTGCTATAGATTAAGTATGGATATTAAATGATTCTATGATTCTTTTTTTTATTTCCTTAAAAATACTTTTTATCACATTCATAGTGAACAATATTACAAGTTTTATTTCTCTAATACATGCTCAACCAAAATGTTATAATTACTCACCAAATCCATTGCTTCAACTTTGGCAGGCAAAATAGCTACAACCTACCTGCAATGATATGGATTCTACACGTCCTTAAATCTCCATTGTCTCCAATGTTGAATGGATGTTGAGTGTCTTGTTATCATTATCATTCATCATGCGACTTTAAATTTTTTTAAAGTCGCATGATGAATGATAATGATGACAATGGCATTTTGAGAGATATTTGTTTTTGGCCTAAGAAATTATGATAATTATAATAAATCATCATAATATGGACTTTTGTCATTAAAATCAGCAGCCATTCTCACTACATGAACTAATAGCACAAAATGTATTCCAGGCAGCCTTTAAATAATATTCCCACTTTGTGACATGTCATCTAAATCTTTCCAAATGAGTACCTTCTTACAGTATAGGGTTGGTTAAGATGTAATGACCCGTATACTAAACATTTTTCATACACATATAGACTGCATTAAAATTGCATATTCCACATGAAATTTCTGATAATTTCAATAGACAGTCATTGTAAATTTAATAGAACAGCAGAAAACTTTAGTAAACAAGCTCATTTTTGCCATTAATTGTTCCAAAATTTAAATTTAACTGCTCTACAAATTATATTAAATATCATTGCTTTTATATCAAAGATGTAGATTCTGATATCTGAATTTAATGAATGTCAAGACACTGTATCCCACTTTGTGACAAGCCAAGAAAATTTCCCCTTTCAATATTTTATAAGTTTCTTCGCTATTCATTACCAGAATACTATTTATTTAAATTAATACAATACCATTACTTAAGTTTTTAAGCATGCTACATATGTTATGATGATCTACAAATTTTAAAATACTTGAAACTGCCTTCAGATTAAATATGAATAGTTATTTTTGCACAGTTCAGAATTACAAAGCTTGGTATTTAAAAAATATATTACTGCGGTTACGCTTAGATCACCTGATTGAGTAGGAGCAGGTTTTCTACTACACAAAAATAAATTAAAATTTTATTAGCAAACTAATTAAAAATTGCCCTCTACTAACATGTCAAAATATTTAGTTATATTCTTTCACATACAGGTACCTTGTTTTAACTGATTCCATAGAAAGTACTTCATTTGAAAAAATATATCCAAAAAAGCATCACAGAATTGCAAGAATCGCATCATCTACCAAGTGGTTAAAAAATGTGATAAAGCTTTGATAAAGTGGTTGTAAAATTATTGTACTTGCATGTAAAAATTACGTTCAATCTAACATATTTCTCTACTCCTGATGAAGAGAGGCCTATTTGCTCTCAAAATCAATTGATTTCTTGACTAAATCTACAGCAAGCACAAAGTTGTTGCTTTGTAACTTGCATGTAATTTACCATACAATTCACACTTTATATTTGATAATATTATTGCTTTATGAATTATTTAAATTTATATTTGCTATCATTTTAACCTCTTTGCTCCTGACGTTGCAAAAATGAAGGTTTCCCAGAGTTTGGAGTACTTAATATCACTGTGTGCTTCAGTGCATTTCGCATTTAAGACTAACAAGCAAAAATAATTTTAATAAAATCTGCTTTTTATCAAAATATTTGTATTTTTATACGATATTTCTTATAACATAAATAGGAAACTTTTTGGGATTTATCTCTCTTTTCTGACGGTAACATCAGCACAAGCCCACGAAACTCATCGTGACGAGGAGTACAAGACTGCGCCTGCTGTCAGCAAGAGACTTGACAGTACGACACTGCTCAGTTCTGCCTCCAATTTTGATGGACAGCATCGCGAGGAGAACGGGTCCAAGGGTCTCCCACCCCTCTTGCCCCTACCACCAACTTCTCAAGAGGCTTCCCGTATATTTAAGTGCCCCCATGATACACAGACACTATACTTTACAAGTATCCATGCTTTCAGCAGGATTCGAACCCGGGCCCTACGGTACAGCAGTCAACGTTGCTCACAATTATCCCGGGCGGCCGGCCACAGGAAACTTCAAATAAAAATTCAGTTAAAATAACAGTCAAAATAAAAATTCAATATGTAGCATTAGAAATATTAAGTAGTCTATATTTTGAGTACCCCTTGGATTATCGCTAAGTTGTTTCATTTATGGTAACCTAAATGTTTTATGGCGTATGGTCTGGAAACCCTATCATGACGTGATTGATGGTAATGCATAATTTTTGACGGCCTATTTCTGTGTTGGATGTCACTTAGGAAGTACGTTGCTTATTTTGTGCTTTACACCGTATGATGGCTGCCTGTGGTAAGATTAAAGTTTCTGTACTATTCGGTATGAATGAAAAAAAAAAAAAGCATTACTTGACTGGTGTGTAAATGAAGGTTTACTCAGTAATCATTATGTGTCTCGTCTGTACAAAGGAAATGAGTATGGTCGAATATAAAGATCATTCAGATGACTTTGAATGGGCTTGTCCGGCACTACAGAGGATATTTTTTATTTTTATTTTTGTGAATTTATGTGGTGACGGCAGAATACAGATTCTAGATCAGATAATTTTAGAAAGTTTTCGGATGCTGTTAATGAATTCCGTTTGCCACACACTAAAGACACAGAAATTTCGTTTAAAACAAGTTTACAATTAAGTGCCCCTTGTTTTTTTTTTTTTTTTTTTTTTTTTTTTTTTTTTTTACGCCAAGAGTGATGGCAGGAAGGCACAATTTCAAGATTGCCGCTACATAAACCCAAAATAAGAAGTCAAATAATTGCATAAACTCGGTGTCCATGTACACATCGATCTACTTTCACTTAAAAGAACATCAGAGAATTCAACAAACTAGGCATTGTGCACTGCCTTAACTGTCCATGTACACATCAATCTATTTTCGCTTAAAAAAAATCAGGAAGCTAAAACAACGTTAAAACTATCCTGCTAACCAGTAATGGGATTTCATCGCCAAAACTGAACAAAATTTGTTGCAAAATCGAAGGGGCACCCAATTCTACAATAGAGCCGAAATTTCTAAATAATTTAATATTTCTTTTTTGTACTGCATGGATTACATAATATGTATTTCAATTTTTATGTTATTTCCTTGTTTAATTTAAAATGCAGTTTATTGAGATTATATATTTTTTGTTTTAATTATGTTCTGGATGCCATTTTACTGAGGAGAGCGTTGCATATAAATAGGAATGATGCCAAAAATTTGCCAAGGGGTACCCTGAAATAATGATTGTATTTACATATTTAAATTATTTCCATACAATGAGGAAGTAAAAAAAAAACTTAAGAATTTAAATACTAGTGCCTATTATATCCTACTTCCACATTTGCATATAAGCCACTTGCATTAGAACATGAAATGTTTCTAAATTGTGAATGTTCATTGTAAGCATCATGCATTTTAAATTTATTGCATAAAATTATAAATAACGTTCAAAATAACTAACCTAACACTCCAGACATTCTATTCAATAACGTTTTAAACATTCTGATATAATTCATGCAGATTTAAAATCAAATGTTCTGTTTAAAAGATTGAAATGCGATACAATGGGCCATCAGTGAAATTTTGTTCCTTTATCACATTTGATAAAATAGGCTCACAAAAGGAAACTGAAGCATATTTATATTTATATGATATATTTTATATGATATGCTAGGAGCAAAGATGTTAAAAAAAGGAGCTTTCAAATATCCCAATTACTTTCTTAAAGGTACAAACAAAATTTCAAAAAATACTTCTCAAAAATAAAATTCATTATAACGGATGCCTTTCATGTTCACCATAACTGTAATCCATTTTTTTATCAAAAACATTTATAAATAACTGGACAGCTTATTTTATGATATAAGGAAATGAACACAAAAATATGTTAACCGTTATTAATTTTCCTAGAGTTCTTTCACTTACTCTTAAAGTATCTCCAAATACTGGTAAGACACGATTTGATGAAATGATACCAGATAGTTCACATTCAATAATCTCTAACATATTAACATCAACATTCTCAAAGATCTCAAGTGATAAATTTCCCAACTTCAGATTTTTTAGTAATATTCTTTGGTAGAATCCAGCAGATACATTTTTCATAATTCTTTCGAGATAAGGCAAAGTTATATTTGGTTCTTGACAGTAAATGGTTGCTTTAAAGCAAGTGCAAGGAGCTATATCATCAGGTTTCGGACAAGCAAAGGAGCTTGGAGTCACAATTAAGCACAGTGAAATCCACAGGACTGATATAAATATTTTCATTATTCAACGTTAATTTCTTTCTTCACTTGGTCTGAAACTGGAAAAAAAACAACAACTAGTTAATAAAAATCTATTTTCAGTGCAGGAACATTTAAAATACAGAAATAAAATTAGACACCGAGTAACAAAATCAACTAAAATTTTTAAACTTTTATACCAAAAAACTCGTTGTGGTGCATGAAAATAGTAACTTTCCTATATAACACACTTTTCTACTGCTGTAGTTCCAGCAACTCTTATCACTTGACAAAGCTTCGCCAAACTACCTGTTACTATGTCTGAAAGTTCAGCCCATGCTCCTTTGATAACTCTTCCAACGCTGTAATTTTTCCCACCCTATTTGAATTGACACCACCAATTTTAACAGTCTGGATTGATACCATTTTATCCGTAATTAATTTCCTGTAGTACGAATACCAATCGTTCACTTTATCATCGGAAGTCATTTGATTGTCAATGCTACTCTGGGAGAAAGCACTTTCGTAACTCTCTCCCTAAGAAAAATTATAAGTCAGCATTATAACTTTCTTAGGACCAAGGCGTTGGCTTACTTTCCCTCCACAGAAAGTCTGGAATCGAAACAAATACCTCTCGCCTGAGACATTTCTTTTGATAAAAATACCAGTGAGTAAGTCAAGTTACCTGTAAGCTGAAAGAAATACTTTATTTACATTTCCCTCCGGTTATAATAAGAAAGTTAATTATTGTTGCCAATATATGCTAGCTAAATAGTTGTAAGAAAGAGATGTGGCTTATCAATAGCCCACAACTTTTCCTCTTTTCAACCTCTGTGCTTTGGTTCAGGCTCCTATATACCAGACTGAAGAGTAAACGTTTTGAGAAACATGAATGTAGCCTTTTGGCTATAGATGGCGCTGACCGTTGCACTGTATGTCTGACGTCAGAATTATGAGTTGGTATCTTTGGCAGGATTCTCGCGGAGGTGAAAATAGAATTTTTGCCAAAGAGAGTTGAAGGTAATGACCCGGGTAACCATAGCACCACCGCATTAGGATTTAAATAACACAACCCCTTAAAGCTATAAACACCATCTGGAATACTGGAGAATGGAAAAAGACCTCGTAAGGAGTCTATAGACTTTTTTCAAAACAAAAAAATTATACATTCAGTGATCGTATTAGAAATTAGTACCATTCAGTTGTGCTGTAATGAATTAATATGAATGTTACTTAATATAAATTAGTACTTTATATGAATGCTGTAATGAATTAATACTTGAATTAAGAGCTATAATGAATTAATACTTTCTGTTCGTTCATTGCCTTAAGTAATAAAAAATTAAGTAAATTTCATTTCTTAATTTATAAATTTTCATTTATAAATTAAGTAAATTTCATTTGCAACATTTAAAAAAAGCTGATTTGCTTTTCGATTTATCTCTCCTCATGGTAATAAGCAAATGGCTGAATGTAAAATTGACATAAAGGAAAATAAATTAAAAATCTTTTATTCAGTACAAACCCACAGTAATAGCCTTATTAGCACTCTCAGACACTCCCCGCATCCCAGAGAAAAACATCGTTACCCATGTGACATCCTTCCCACATAAGAATCACAACCTTAATTGACTCATTCACGCTAAACTGACTCTGCGGTTTTTCCACCCGCGGCTACATCTTATAACGACAGTGTACTTATCAACCCCCTTTTTTCGCCGCCGCTAGTGCGGACCTCACTCTCTTTTATCCGCCTCCTTTCACCCTACCCTTTCTCCCCCCATCCGATCCTTATCAGAAGTCGAGTAAAATGATGATTCTACATTTTGACACTCGAGAATAAAATACGATCTGTGTAAATTAAAAATCTACCTTTACTTCTGAAAAAAAAATTTAATTCCATCATTTTTAAATTATTAGTCCTATTATTATATTTGTTTGCAAAGCCACATATTACAAACTGCTAAACTGATAGTACAGAACTATTTCTTAAATGCAAAATTAATCATTAGTAGTTCTAAAATGATTTTTATTTAAAAAACTCTTATCACAACTAGAAACACAGCAAGAGTGAAAAAAGTTCTCAGCAGTATTACATTATCTGAAGAACTGCATTTTAGAACAAATAGCAAAACGTCCACAGAGACACCTTTCACATTCCCGTTTCATTTTCTTTAGCAATAATAACGGAAATAAAACTGAAACATTTCTCTCTAACTGAGGAAATTCTGTCTTATAACAGATGATGATAACTTTTGATGCTTCTCAACGAGCTGAACTTATATTCCAGGTATGCTCTGCAGTGGGAGCAAACAAACGCAGCTCATATTACAAATTTACGCCTGACAATTCGCTCGCATTTGGAAAGAAATAATTGCTTAATCTCGCTACCGCCCCCCTCCCAAAGGTTGCACCGAGATCACAGTTGATAATCCCAATTTTCAAGTTTTGAATGAATAAAAATGGTATAAAAGCGCGTAGCTGTTGAAATCACCTGGTGATTTCTTTGGATACTAATATACAGAAAATCTATTTTTCTTCTTAAATTAATTCCATACGCTAATTCAGAATTGTATTGTTCTTTACTTGCCTGAAAGATACACAGGACTTACCCCCATCAAATATTATTTCACATGAAATTGGCCATTCCAAATTATGTCGTCCGTGGCGGACCAGCCCTCTCTAGCTACGCTAATTTGTCTGAAATCACATGAATTAAAGAAATGAAGATGAAATTTTTGTATATATTTAAAAGTCTTAGTTAACTAGCAAATTATCTGAATAAAAATTTGTGTCTGTAAATTGTAAGATACGTGAATACATTGTGAATTTAAGTTCTGATTTCTGCATTTCAGCTCATTATTAGCACTTGGAAGTAGGTCTTACTATTTTTATTCGAATATGAATATTAAAACTCAACTCTTTTTCAAAATAGGAAACGTTGCTAAGCCACGTACTGTATAATACCTATGATAAAGAACTCGCTCGCCATTTATCAAATCATTATCATTATTAGCTTCAAATTTTTACCAGTATTAAAACTATTGTTAAAATCCATCAGCAGCCCACGGTAATATTGCTGAAAACAGCTAGATCAACTTCATTTCATATTCCAGCGAATGAGCTGTCTGTATGGGATTGTTTCGTGGTCCCCGCCCCGCAAGAAAAGATGTATACTTTTATAGCTTATAACGTGTAAAAATACAACCAGGATCTCTCGTAGCGAAGCTGGTAACATTAGCAAAATTGGACTAGTTTTTTATGGATTTAAAAAAAAAGGATTAAAAATATGTATGACATAATGTTTCGTATATGACACTTTTTAGAAGTATAAATGAGAAAACTCGTTTGCAAAATTGTAATGAAATTTTCCCAGGGTCTAGAATTTTTACATTTCCAACTTTTTGGCAAACAACTTCAGTTATTGCCTCGACTTCTCCGCAATTAGATAAATCTCCGATTTTTGTACATGAAACAATCTTTTTTCATGATTGACTTTGAGCATCTTTGTTTTTTACATACTCTCGCGCATAGCGTTGAGTGTGTGTGCGTGAATACGCATGGATAATCGCCAGCCGGATAATGCGCACCCTGATAATTAAGCGAAAACTGTATATATTTTAATAATTTTTTCGTTGAATCTTGAATGTGATTTGAAAGCTAGTTTTTATTAATCTGAGCGACCATTTAACTCATGAAACAAATTATAATTAATCTTTAAAAAATGAATTAAGAATTTTTAGTCGGAAAAGACACAGAAAATTACGAATTTTGTGACATTACTAGTTAGCATCAACTTCTAAAAACTATTTTATTTATCTATTTATTTTATTTCCCATATTATTGTCATTAAAATTTCCGCCGTTAAAACCTATTTCGGTAAAAATAAATATATTAAAATACTCTAAAATTCTCTTCCTAGAAATAATCTTCCTAGAAGCATAACCTGAAAATCTATTCTGATTCCAAACCACCGTTTTTTATGAAGCTGCTGCAATTTATAACAATTCAGCGATTTACCTAAAAGTGCAGATTCTTACCCAAAGTCCTCGTTTTTCATAAAGATTCCGAAGATTTATATAATACTTTGCTTAATTGATGAATCAGTAACTAAAATGAAAATCGTCCTTGCAAAAGAATGCCGATAACGAGTTTCAAAGGAAAAACTGATCTTCAGTTTGTGCACGTTACCTCCTCCTGCGGCACCGTTATAAAGGCATCCCAATTTGATTGCATCCTCGTGTCATGGTAAAGTTCATTGAATTAACTCAAAAAAATGAAAGTTCAGCATTCTTATCGTTACGTAGCGTGGGATTGTTCCCGTCACTGAGGGAACTTTAAATATATTTTCTCGAAAACTTATTCTTCGAGAAAATAGCGAGTTATTTTTTTTTACGTTTTCAAAAGTTTATCGAGGTCATTATGTTTTAACTGAAAATGATTTATGCAGGTTTTATCCTGTTAAATAAAAAATTAATTTTAAAATAAATCTTTCATGTGATAACAAAAAACATATAGAACTATGAGACGCAAGTCTTCAAATTGTTCATGGTACGCACCTTAAAATATATTAATTTAACGATAAATAAAAAATACTGAAAAAAAAATCTTAAAACTAACAGCCCCATAAGTTAGCTGAGAGATTAAACCGCTGAATACTGGGAGTGCTATCCCATGGGTTAGCTGCATGGTTGGTTTTCAGGGTTTCCCCTTATGTTAGTTGAATATGAACCACTTTCCCTTAGAAAGTACTCCACAAAGGCATCTCTCCTACTAGGTAGATAGCCCTTGCGTACTAGGTAGATAGCACTTGCGGGCTTTTCTATATCTGTATAACCTAACCTGAAAACCAGCAACAAAAGAGAATAAAGTATGATATCTCCTTATACAAATATCTCATTCTTTTATAATCGTTAGGAAATACCATGCAAATATTCTATTCTGCACCAATGAAATTATTAGAGTGTATCCCTTTTTAATACTAACAAAAGAGATGGTTGAAAATGATACGGCATTTCGAAAGGGAGCACTTTTGAACGTAACTCCTTACCTAAACAAGCAGATTATTTTTAATCCTGTG